AACGCACGGACAGAGCGCAGCCATCGTGCTTGACAAAATTGTCACCCGTGACCGCTTAGGATGAAGGCCGCGAAGCATGCGAGCCCAGGAATCTGGTGTCCTGGGAGTGCCATCCTTGTTGGCAGGAGTGCCATTACAGCGGCTCGCAAGTTTGGCGAGCCTTAAACCAGAAGTGTAGTACTTACACGTCTGGCAAAAACAGACAAAGGAGTCGTCGCTACAATCAACCACCCAGCACCGATGGCCGAGCGAGGCCAACTGAGCGACTTGCACACGCGAGTGATGGGAACAGACTCCTGGAGGCGGCACCGCCGCAGTGCGCCTCCCACGGAGGCGCTGAGTACATTGCCAAAGGTCCCCGACCCGCACCCTGGAGTGGCCCGAACGGGCCTCCGCGGCAGGACGCGGCGGGACGATAAGCTGCACCCCCTTGAGGTCAAGGCGAGGCCAGAGCGGCAGAAGGTGAGCAGACAGCTTAGCTACCGCTCTGGCAACCGATACACTACGACTCACAGCCTCTTGAAGCTCGGGCGAAGCAGCAGGGTGCTGGAGAGCGCCTCTCTTGGCCGCCTGGTCGGCCCCGTGGTTGCCCGAGCGGTAAAAGGCCTCCAGCGGAGGCAAATGCAACTCGAAACTCTGGTGGGCCTTCACCTTGGTGAGACTCGAAATCAACGAAGCGTGAGACAGAGCCTGCATCATCATACCGCTATGAACGAGTTGATAGCTGATCTGGTTAAAATGACCTGGAGCATGGTACTGCTTGTGCACATTCGAGCAGTCCGTGTAGAAGTGGCTGGGGCCCCCAGTCAAAAACACGGAGCCCCCGAAGGCTGAGCATTCCCCTCCCTGACTCGTCTGGGGCGTGGGGCTCCAGGCGGGGGCCGAAACCGAACAGAGAGGGGCCGCGGAATCCGAATTTTCAAAAACGCAGAGCCCCCACCCCGCTCTCGACAATTCACGCACAGGATGTTTAAAGCAAGAGCCGTCCATAAATACATGGCCCTCGAATCCGCCACCCAGCCGAGCTGGGTCGTCGTGCCATTGAATATCTACTCCTGTGGACGAGAGCGGAGGTGGGTACAAGTCCCCTGGGTGCCTGAAAAGGCCTCGGGTGAAAAGAAGGAGGTCCACATTGGGGTCCTTGGAGGCTTCTAACACCCAGGGGTCCACAATACTGGCACGGAGCTCAGAACATTTGCTACACTCCCAAATCCTGTGGAATAAAGAATCGGGCTCCCCACAGAGAACGCACTTCGGCCAACGCTGATATCCTAAGCTAACGGCCTTATCACGAGTCCAAGTAGCCCCACGGAAAACCGCTTTCACAGTGCCCCTCTGGATCTGATCGAACTTAGTTGACCGAGAAGCCGTAACCATAACGTCGGAGCACAACCGATCAGAGGACCCCAAGGCCAGACTGGCCTGCCTCTCCAAAGAGCGAAGCACTCCTTCCCTGAGGAGCTTCTTCAACAAGGCAGGTGATGTGACAGGCAGCGAGATCTCTTGCTGGAGGTCATTGGTCAGAGTGAAGGGGTCTTTCAGCAGCCAGTCAATCCTGCACAAAGAGAGCTTCATCGCACCGACGGGTCCACCACGCGAGCGCCATGTGATGTCCTTGGAGAAAGTGGCACTCCATGCCGAGCGAAGGGCAGCAACCGATAGCGAAGGAGACGTGATCTTGCTCGCCGTGGTCCATACCTCCTTCCCCCATCGAACCACTGGTGCTACCGAGGCGAGCCAAGAGGGATCATCCTCAGCAATCATAAGCACGGTGAGAGACCGACCCCCTGCTGACGGCTGCATCGCACGACCGAGCCCTCGACGAATCCGAAGAACCTCCCCGTCGCTACACCCGTGGACTTCGGCGCCATATACAATGCCAGGCAGCGGCCCAGCGGTGAATATCTGCTTGCATCGCTTGCCAAGGTCGGGCTTCAACTTGGCCAGCCTCTTGGCGCGACGGTTGCACATAGCGACTCGCTTCATGGCAGTAGCACAACGGCCAGACGATCTTCGAGGCTTGCCCTGGGCGTCGTCGACCCCGAGATTAGCTACCCCTGTAGTGGCTGGCCCTGCTAGTCCCCCCAGAATGTCACGAAGACGACGAGCAACAGCAGGAGAGGACGAGATGAGGCAAGCTCTGTCAGCAGTGACCCCCGTGGTACGATCGATCCAAAGCGAGCGCTTACAATCAATCGTGAGGATGCGGTGCAGAGCTCGCGATGCGGCAGCAAGGTCCCGAACCGCTAGCTCGACACCGCCAGTGCAATTCCGGGCGCAAACGTCGATGTACGCATCTTGGGTGACAGAGCGCGGCAGCGTCAACCTATCCAGTTCCAGGACAAGGTAAATACGAACGAATGTAGTCGCGATCGAGCACCCAGCGATGACCCCCTTGATGGCTAACCAAGGTCCGTTGACGCTGCCATTCGTCAAAATAAACCGCGCACACTGGTAGGCGAACACGCACAAGCGGGCCACCTGCGGAGAAAAACCGACGCGCCTGCATCGGTCCAGCAGCAGCTCCAGATCAAATAGTTCGTAGAACTTATACATACCCCAAGGGACACTAGCGGACACATCGTTGTTGGAAACCGACTCTTCAGATCTAAGAGCTTGCCTCCAAACCACATCCGAGGAAGACTTGAATCGCCCACGGGCGAAGAAAGGCCCCTGCCACGCGGCCTCCCACTCCTCAGCTAAGCGACGGCGAGCACGCCCCCAGAGTCTGTAAGTAGCCACGAAGAGGCCGATAGGCCTGAAGCCTCCAGAGGCCTTCGACAGCATAGCCAGGGGAACCACCCTCAACTGAGTCGGAAAAGCCGAAAGCATCTCCCAGAGCTGGAACATCTTCCCCACGGCCAGGAGGGCGCCGTCGCTAAGCTGCGCGAAGTGCCATATGTGAAAGCCGTCGACCGAGACAGCCGTAAACCTGGAATAGCTGAGGCTGAGATCGCGAAGCACTGGAGGACTGAGAAACTCCAAGGGCTCCAGGATAGCCTCGCGCGCGAAACGGTCAGGCGGCCGAGCCCCCTGATAAGTAGTGCCCCAGAGGTCCGCGAACTTGAGGGCTTCCGCTTTCAGGGGGCTGAGTGGATCCGAAACCAGGGCGCCATCGGAGCTCAGGGTAGTCGTCGGTTTCCAAGAATGGGGGTCCCTCGTGTACTGATGAGCCCTCTTGCCCCCTTTCTCGATGCCCATCCAAGATCCACTGCCTCCAGGAAGCTCTGGATTCCTTCCGAGTAAAAGCGGCGGCCTCCGAAAGGGACTCCTCGAAGTCTTCCAACAATTTAGTCAGAGATAACCTCCAATCGTCCAGGGAAAGCTCGTCACTACGTCCCAAGAATAAAACAGCCTGATCGTGAACCACAGACCACTGCCCCAGATGATCCAAGATGCACTGAGGGGGGCGTCGCATCTGGCCTACGATCGACTGCGCGGCCGGGTGCCCGACGGGGTCACCCGCGCCGAGGTGCCCGATCAAAGCGCGCAGCTGCGCAATGAAGAAGTTGACCGGCTGCTGCGCTGACGGCGGAGCGGCCCTGGTGTCGATAGCGAGCGGATCGTACCACTCGCACCTGGGCTTGCGACCGCGAGTGCCAAACATTGGGATAGACGACTGCGTCGAGTTGACAAGTTCGACCTCGCTGAGATTGGCCCACATTTCGTAAGCCGAGTCCAGCCCAGAAAAAGCTTCCTGCAGCCTCCCAGAGACAGCGCCTTCCAGAGTAAAGTCCAGAAGCTCCAGGGTGTGGGGCCAGTCGGGCGGCTGCGTCACGGGTCCCATGGCAGGGCCAACGGGGATCTTCGGAGGCTTGCGAAACCCGAGGGCCCGTGGAGTGCTAAGAGACTTGTGGAACTCCAGACACACAGGCAAATGAGGGTAAGTGGCAGCCTCCTCGACCAGAGAAACATCATTAACACACTTACTCAGGCCTCCAGAGACCAGAAAGTAGTCGTAGTGCTTGGTGCCACTGGGGCCCGTCGAAGACCCTCGATCCCCAGGCGCCGACGCCAGTGAGCCTCGCAGAAGCTCAGGCATTCCGCTGTCCAGAAGAACTTCGGGGACCATGTTGAAATCCCCGCCCAACACGAACGGCAAGCCCGAGTGAACCAGGAACGACATGGCATCAGAGAGGATAGAAACGTTGGCATCGCTCATATGCTCGCAATCGTGCAAGTAGATACTGGCGACTAAGAACTGCGGCCGCCCCAGCCGCTGAACGACACCTGCCGCGCACTTGTGAGGAGAGACCTGAGTGACGTCGAGAAGTGGGTGGAATCCAAAAACTGCACGAACTGCTACCGCGACGCCTGCATAATCACCACCCTCCTCCCCAGAACATCCAGGCTCCCACCGAATCTTCCAACCGTGGCGGATCCCCCAAGCACTGGCCTGATTGATTTCTTCAAAACTGCGAAGCTTGTGCTCCTGGATAAACGCGACGTGAGCGCGGGTTTGTTCCAGTCTCTTACGAGCAGTTCCCCATCCCGAACAATTGAAAGTCCCCAGAATGAAACCGAACTCATTGCCAGGACGCTCGGAGACCGAGGGAAGAACTACACTGGGCTGGTTAGTGCAGTTCACCGATGAACCAGAACGCCGTGAATGACCAGGTGCAGCAGACGGCCCCGACCCCTCCGCTAAGAAGTCGCTCCCACCCTTTAACCCTGGGGGCCAACCAGCATGCGCTGGGAGGTGGGTGGGGACTGTAGCAGAGGGGCCTGTCGACAAGGTGCCTGGCGAAGACGCGGTGCACCCAGAAGACGAAATATGGGCTCCCAGCGGCCTGGTGGGAGGACACGAAGCCCCCCCCCGATAGGCTATGGTGATATTAGGTACGCAACCTGCTAGCAACGGGCTCCACCATCTCCAACCTGCGCTTGTTCTCCTCAGCAGAGGCCGTAGGCCCGCACAAAAGGTTGTAGAGGTCATCGCCCGAGCGAATGTTAGGCCTGGCCGAAGGAGCAGAAGCCGATCTCGTCGACGACCCACGAGCCTTGACGGCCTCCTCGGACTTGGTGAGGTGCTCCCTGTCAGACTGCAAGGCGCTGCGCATGGCCTCCATCTTGGCCTTGGGATCCGCCGAGCTCTCCTTCTGGACAGCGTCCGCAGCCTGGCCCAGGAAGACGTCCATGGCCGGGAACGTGTCCTTGAACTTGGCGATGTCAGCCTCCGCCGCAGGGTCACCCCCAGGAGGAGCAACCTTGGCGGATAATTCACGATAGCGCACACGTAACTGCTCGATCTCCGTGCCGATCTGAGTGGACTTCGTGCGCAGCTCCTCACCCCGCTCACGATGGTACTCAATAGATTCCGTAATCTGCAGCAGCTCCTTCTCCTTCGAGAGCAGCTGCTTCTGAGCGGCAGAGGCTTGCACCCCTGCGTTCTGCTTATCCAACTCTGCCTGCTTGACCGCCGTGGACGAGGCAGCCAGAGCCTGGAGGATGGCGTCGGCCCCAGGAAGGCCATCGCCGACGCCCTTGAAGTGCTTGGTGAGCGCCTCGAGGTACTCCTGCTGATTGCTGGAAGGAGGGGGCGGAACGTCAGCACGGCCATATCCCTTTCCAGCACCTTTGCCACCGCCATCGGCGCCGCGACGGCGCTTACCCCCATCAGGCAGCCGACCATCCCCACCAGCACGAGGACGACCTTTAGCCAGAGGCGGTGGCAGAGGGTTGTGGCACGACTTGCACCACTTGTCCCACGGCATGTTCTTCTTGCAACCGCATACCCCGCAGGGAGCGACGATCGAGGAACCACCGCCACCCGCCATGGCTGCAACTGCAAGGGAAAGCAAGTACTGCTGGTGAAAGTACCCTGGGCTGAATCCAGGCCGAACGATACACAGTGTAGAATGTGTAAGGAGGCGAAATGCGGAGACCCTTGTCCTGGGGGCGTCTCCAGGGTCTCACTCGCGCGCGGCGGGCAAGGCCACTTGAGTCGGGGGTGGCCCGATATGGCCTTGAGCCAAAATGGCTTGAACCAAAATGGCTACGGAGGGGAGAGAGTATGGGAGGGGGAAGGGAGGAATGCGAGGGGTGGTCGGGGAAGGGGGGAAGGGGGATACAAAAGGGAAGGTGGAGTGGGAGGGCCAGGGCGGAAGGGGGGGAGGGCAGAGGGGGGGGGGAAGGGGGGGTAGATGGGGAGGGGATGAGTAGGGAAAAGTAGCAGGGGCGGGAGTGGGAGGAGGAGGAGGGGGAGGAGGATGAGGAGGAGGAGGAGGAGGCGGAGGATGAGGAGGACGACGAATAGGAGGAGGAGGAGAACCATTGTAAACCCACGAGTTATCAACGATCTTGGAATCAACCCTCCCCCCGAACTCCCTCTTCATAGGCTCCTACAGCGGTTCATCTCCTCTGAAGGAGTTGTTTTGTTGGAAAGCAACCGTTTAAAATTTCTGAAGCATGCCAAAACATCGTTCTCGGGATTCCAACGCTACGGATCAACCTGACTCCTAGCGTCGTCAAGTGGCCCGACTCGTACAAGAACGCCATTCTTAGGACCTCAACGCCGCGAGTTACGTAACTTTTGCGCCCGCCTAGTCCATAATCTTTCCAAACTACAATTTCTGGCACGTTGATCCTGGGAACCAGTAGAATTTCTTGTATATTATATGAGTGAATGTGCGCGGCGCTAAAGCGAGAGCCACAATGTTCAAACGAGCCGCCCTCGATCCGTGAAGCTCATACAAATTCTTCACGCTTCGCGTATCCCCACCCGCCCATCTCAAAACATCAACTCTAGCGAAGCATGCCGACAGTCGTGTTTTTCAGGCGTGTGTCCGCCTGCCCCCGCATATCTCCCCTGTTCCTCCTTCCTCCCGCCTCCTTGTAGTACATCCTCCTTGTGGTGGGAACGGGAGAAGGACGAGGCGGAGGAGGAGGGAGAGAAAACGCTCCTCGTGGTTTGAGTCGTTCGGGCTTCTCGTCCTGGTGTGAGTCGTTCGGGCCCTTCTTCCTGGTGTGAGTCGTTCGGGCTCTTCGTGGTGTGAGTCGTTCGGGCTCTTCGTCCTGGTGTGAGTCGTTCGGGCTTCTCGTGGTGTGAGTTGTTCGGGCCCCTCGTCCTGGTGTGAGTCGTTCGGGCCCCTCCTCCTGCCCGTCCAGAAACGACGCCCAGGCGAGTAGAGGGTCGTCCTGATTGGCTTTTTGGCGTTTTGGGTGCCTCGGGGGGGCCTCTTTGGGCCGTTTGGGATCCTCTTGGGGGCCTCCTGGGGGCCTCTTGGGGCCATCTTGGGGCCTCTTGGCGCCTCCTGGGCGCTTCTTGGGGCCATCTTGGAGGAAATCGATCAAAAAAGAGGGGAGCTTTAATTAGCGCTGCCCCCTCAGAAGGCCAACATGGGGCCAAAACCTTAGTAAAATCAATGATTGTGGCTTGAAAGAAGAGGGGAGCTTTAATTAGCGCTGCCCCCTCAGAAGGCCAAAATGGGGCCAACACCGTAGTATAATCAATGATTTTGGCTTCAAAGAAGAGGGGCGGGTTTTTTCTCCCCCCCCGTCGGGGCCAGAATCCTCGTCAGGGGTGTCGTTTTTTAGCCCTCCCAGGAGTCGACAAAGACCCCTCCGACCACCCGCGAACGGACCTCTCCAGGTCCAGGGGGAGGGGGTAGGGGGAGGGGTAAACCCCTCCCCGAAGGGGAAGAAGGGGGGTTGAGAACAGAGCGGGCTCTCTAAACCACTCACGCCCAAAGGGCTGGTGTGTTAAAGCGAGCCGCCCTCGATCCGTGAAGCTCATCCAAATTTGTAGAACGAATGTGCGCGGCGCTAAGCCGAGACCCGCATTTCGAAAACCACCCGCCCTCAACCCGTGAACCTTTGGCAAGCTTCAACAACGAGTTAAGGCGAGAACCACATTTTGAAAAGGAACCGCCCTCAATACGTGAAACCCTTGCAATCTTAAGATACGAATGTGAACGGCGCTAAGGCAAGAGCCACAGTTTGAAAAGGAGCCGCCCTCAATCCGTGAAATTCCTGCAAGTTCTTTACGCTTCGCGTATCCCTACCAGCCCATCTCACAACAGCAACTCTTGCGAAACATGCCGACAGTCGTGTTTTTCAGGCGTGTGTCCGCTTGCCCCCGCATATCTCCCCTGTTCCTCCTTCCTCCCGCCTCCTTGTAGTACATCCTCCTTGTGGGGGGAGCGGGAGAAGGACGAGGCGCAGGAGGAGGGAGAGAAAGCGCTCCTCCTGATTTGAGTCGTTTGGGGTTTCTCGTCCGGGTGTGAGTCGTTCGGGCCCTTCTTCCTGGTGTGAGTCGTTCGGGCTCTTCGTGGTGTGAGTCGTTCGGGCTCTTCGTCCTGGTGTGAGTCGTTCGGGCTTCTCGTGGTGTGAGTTGTTCGGGCCCCTCGTCCTGGTGTGAGTCGTTCGGGCCCCTCCTCCTGGTGTGACTCGTTCGGGCTCCTCGTGGTGTGAGTCGTTCGGGGCCCTCGTCGTGGTGTGAGTCGTTCGGGCTCCTCGTGGTGTGAGTCGTTCGGGCGCCTCGTCCTGGTGTGAGTCGTTCGGGCCCCTCCTTGTGGTGTGAGTCGTTCGGGCTCTTCGTGGTGTGAGTCGTTCGGGCCCCTCGTCCTGGTGTGAGTCGTTCGGTGCTCCTCGTGGGGCCTCCTCGGGGGGCCTCTTGGGGCCTCTTGGGGCCTCTTGGGGGCCTCTTGGGGCCTCTTGGGCCTTGGGGCCTCTTGGGGTGCCTCTTGGGGCCTCTTGGGGGCCTCTTGGGGCCTCTTGGGGGCCTCTTGGGGGCCTCTTGGAGGCCTCTTGGGAGCCTCCTGGGGGCCTCTTGGGGCCATCTTGGGGCCTCTTGGTGCCTCCTGGGCGCTTCTTGGGGCCATCTTGGAGGGAATGGATCAAAGAAGAGGGGAGCTTTAATGAGCGCTGCCCCCTCAGAAGGGCAAAATGAGCCCAAAACCTTCGTAAAATCAATGATTTTGCCTTGAAGGAAGAGGGGAGCTTTCATGAGCGCTGCCCCCTGAGAAGGCCAAAATGGAGCCCAAACCGTAGTAAAATAAAGGATTTTGGCTTCACAGAAGAGGAGAGGGTTTTTTCTCCCTCCCCCCGTCGGGGCCAGAATCCTCGTGAGGGGTGTCGTTTTTTAGCCCTCCCAGGAGTCGAAAATGACTCCCCTGACGACCCGCGGAGGGACCTCTCCAGGCCCAGGGGAGGGGGTAGGGGGAGGGGTAAACCCCTCCCCGAAGGGGAAGAAGGGGGGTTGAGAACAGAGCGGGCTCTCTAAACCACTCACGCCCAAAGGGCTGGTGGGACTAGCTGTGGTCCTCGAGCCCCCTGAGGGGCCCATCATCTCCAGTGCGCTCCCCGAGAAGTCATCGATGTGGCTGGCCTCTCCTCGGAAATTGGAGCATATACATTGCCAGTGTCGGGCTGCTTTTCGATGCCAGGACTTCTTGAGCGTCGGGGACGACGTCGGGGTGGTGTGGTGTGTACTTGTTTCCCCGTCTTCCTGGGGAGACGGCGAAGAATGCATGCACCAGGATCCCGTGTGCACCAGGAGCCGCCGTCACGTGCGAATTTCAGCGGGTGGCCTGGAAAAGCGTCGGTGTATAGAGTTCGGCTCCGTATCTCCTCGGAGGGTGAGGGTCACGGCAGGGGAACCCCCGACCGCCATAGCTGGCGTTTGCTGAACAGTCTTGGGCGTTTGCTAACCAGCCCTGCCCTGCTCGATTCGATTCCTTCCCCGGGTGCGTTGACTGAAGGGCCTCGCGTGCAGGGCTGCCTGTCATGAGTATGGTCATCATGTCCTCTCTAGGGGAATACAGCTCCCCCGGTTGTGGCTGGTCGGGGCGTGAGGACGGGCGTCGATGGCCCCCCCTCCCACACAGTGGCGACAGCTCTTCGGTCCCGAGCCTCGCTCCTGGCGCGTGCGGCCAGGACCGGCGGTCGCTCGTGCACGCGCGGTGGCTCGTCATGGAGCGCGCGCGCGTGTGTGGAACGCAGCGAGGGCGACGGCGGATGCGCGGTGCGAGGTGGTGAAGGGCGTGACCTGTAGTGCACAGGGAAGCTGAACAAATGCGTCTGTGTGTGCGTGTGCGTGTGCGTGTGCGTGTGCGGGTGCGTGTGCGTGTGCGTGTGCGTGTGCGTGTGCGTGTGTTTGCGTGTGCGTGTGTGCGTGTGTGTGTGTGTGTGTGTTTGTGCGTGTGCGTGTTTGAGTGTTTCTGCGTTTGTGTGTGTACGCGTGTATGTGCGTGGGAGGGGGGCAGCTCTTCCACTCTCTCCAGCCCACCCTGCCTGTTTCGGTCTCGCTCCAGCCTTCGCCGCCTTTCCCACCTATGGCCAGCAATCACCTGTACCGAATTCCCCACCGCACTTTTTGCAGCTGTGCTCTGCAGCGCGGCCTGGCGCGAGGCAGCGGCGCGGGGCATCGCCGGGACACCGCGTGCACGTCGGCCCCCGCGCAGCGACCCCGGAGGAGGAGGAGGAGGAGGAGGAGGAGGAGAGGAGGAGGAGGAGGAGAGGTGGAGGAGGAGGAGGAGGAGGAGGAGGTAGGAGGAGGAGGAGGAGGAGGAGGAGGGAGAGGAGGAGGAGAGGAGGAGGAGGAGGAGGAGGCGGAGGGGAGGGGGAGGAGGGAGGAGGAGGAGGAGGAGGGGGAGGGGGAGGGGGAGGGGGAGGAGGAGGAGGAGGAGGAGG